TCTTCAGCTACTGGCTGTTATGTAGTTGAAATGGAAGGTAGACATATAAATTCAGACTATGACCTTTCCTCAACATCCACTTCCTCCCATGTCTACAAAAAGTAAAAACTAAAATCATAAAAAGATTAACAAGAACAACCCGCACCCCACCCCACCCCCCAACTGGCATAAGATCTGTGGCAAGAAAAGCTCTAACTCAGCCTAAACTCACATCCTTTTCTGACAAAGTATTCAAGTCTGAGCTCCACTTTCATGTTTAGGAACCTTCTATTCCTAAATTTGTTCTTCGGAACTTAACAGTGTTTTGGTGATGCTAGGAAAGATACAGGGCATTTGACCTTCGTTAATGCTGAGAGAGAGAAGGCAAGTTTTGTTACCACATGAAGTGACTAAGGCACTGAGATGAGAAGAAATGCTCACTGGTAGAAGCCACTGGGAATAAAATCCAAATCTCCTGCTTCCCAATCCAGTCCTCTAGTCCCATTCCCTAAGTCACAGACAAGCGTTACTAAAAGTATCCTGCTGAGGAGCCCCAAGATGAAAGCTTCCATATGTCCTACCCTCTTTTTAGTCTCCAACCTGAGCCTCCCCTGGATCCACTAAGTTGCTGGATCCGCTGTCAAGTGTAGAAAGAAGAATGTGTTTAGAAAGACATGTATTTACACCCTGTTCACCATCTCCTTTCAGAGATGTTCTTTATCTCTTTGAAATGATTATATTAAATGGATGCGGGGCTAAAGTTAGACCGTATTTTCCCGTCAGAAGGGGCTTCTGAGAATCCTTAGGTAAAGCGAATGTGAAACTCTGCATCAGGCTCACAAACGTCAGGAAGAGTTCCATCTTTGCCAGCTGCTCTCCCATACACACCCGCTTCCCTAAAATAAGAGCAGGAAAAAATTAAGCATTATAATACCACCCCTTTTCCTGTCTCTAAAAGGACACATTTATATGCAATATCTAAATTGTCTTAAATACAGATACAGAGTTTTAAAATAAAACTGCCACATATACCACATGACCTCCCACAGTAATGCTGATTAAAATTTTTATATATGGAGCTCACATTTTAACCCCTACTCATAAAAACCTATCTTCATCCTAGACAGGAACTGGAGACCGATCTGATTCTTGTCTCCTCCTGCTTCTGTACCTACTTGTTTCTTTCCTGTGCTCTTACCTGGATGATTAGGGAGAAAATAAATCAGATTACGACTCTCCGGAGTATTCCTTCTCTAGGAACCTAAGGAGCGGCTGCCGAGAATAGAGAACCCCTCTCACCCACCAGCCATCAAAGTCAGAAGCTGCTCTGAACTCCAGCAGTTCCCTGGCACTCAAACCATCACCAGAGCAGTTCAGCGACGAAGATTCCTAGGCATATTTAAAGATTTAAAACCAAATTGCTTTCCTTTCGTTTTAAAAATCTGAAATGAACATAGCGGAGATGTATTATCTACATGATTTATCTTTTATATTAGCTTGCCCGGAAAGAAACATTTTTAAAACAGTATTATGAAATAATAAAATATTCTTTTGGTTCTACTTCATTTTCAATTATGCCATGAAGAAAATAAAGTTTAACTGACCTATCCCAAAAGGAATAAATGTTTCTCTTTTAATAAGTTGTCCTTGATCATCCAGAAATCGATTAGGGTTGAAATCATCAGGTTTCTCCCAAATGGCTGGATCTCTGTGCACTGCCCACAAGTTGGGTATTATCACTGTGCCTTTAGGAATAGTATACCCTTGGAGCACTAAAACAAACAAACAAAAACCAGTGTCATTCAGCATGCTTTTTACTGATAGTTCTGTAAACATCGCTATCTAAAAAATACCTAGTGACATATCGAGCTCTTAATTTGCTGAGACTAAACCTTGAGGTACTTGCAGGCAGGGGCAAGACCTTACCAATTGGCATCCCTTTCTCCATACCACCCCAGCATCCAGCTTAAGAGTGGTTTCAACGGATGTTGAATTAATGCATTAGATCAAACCATAACAACATTAAAATGAAAAGAAAACACATAGAAATCACAGGGCATACCAGGTAAACTTTCCCAAAGAATAGAAATTCCTAATACTTGTATAAAACTTCATATTTTACAATCTTTTATGTCCACACAATAATATGATGAGAAAGGTAACTAAGGTAAAGGGATGTACAGGGAAGTCGGCATTGCCTCTTAATCGGCTAAAAAAATCCATGTGCATTTTAAGTGATGCCCAAAAGATACTGCACACGCAGTGAATTTAATTTGTACCAAAGAAACTGTTAAATGATCTAATGCCATTTATAAGTGATTGCCTCCTACAACAGTCTCATGACTAATTTAAGCCCACTACATCATGAGCTGTCTCCCAGGAGGTGAATTCCTTGTTTCGAGGGAATCTGAGTGCCTATACAGGGTGGGCAAAAGCCAGGTTTGCAGTTGGAGTTCGTGAAACACAATTTATTCCTGTGTTATTGTTTATTAATTGTTGTATTATTTTTCATATGAAC